AACAGGTGTTCTCAGGTTCCCTCACTCCCACTCCCTTCCAGGATTACTACTGCTAGGCAGCGTGAATAGAAACCAGCTGACGTGCTCTTTTGTTCCTGGCTTTCTGCAGCATCTTAGCCATCGCTGGAATGTGTGGGTACACTTCTCTCATCAGGCTTGTGAACTAAAACCGTCAGAGTGTCTCTTCCAGGCTCCAGGAAGAAGGAGTGGAGAGCCGCTTCATTTTATTTTATTATTATCTTGCACAGGAATATTGTGGCGAGTTTGTTTAAACTACAGCTTCCTAGACCTAGTGTTAGGGATGGATTTATGAAGTCTGGTGTGGGATTGAGGACTTTTAAATCAGCGTCTTACAAGTGGTTCTGATAGAAATGTGCTCTGAGCAATAAAGACTAGTCTTTTCATCTTTGCCTCTGTCTGTCTTATGTTATTGCATCTTGTTCCACAAAAAAAAATTAGAGGTAAAAGTAAATTAATTCGGGGATAACCAAAGACCAATATAAAACAAAGTACTATTATACCTAAACTAAACATGCGAAGTTTTAAATAGTATTCTAGTAGTGCTCTTATTCTACTTAACACACAGATTCCAAATGAAATATAGTACAAATGCCCAGCAACTTTTATGACATCCTTCCTTTAGGTGTATTCTATACATGCATACATTTTTCTGAAAGTAAAAATAACACTATTTCTTGGTGGCTCAGATGATAAAGTGTCTGCCTACAATGTGGGAGACCCAGGTTCGATCCCTGGATCAGGAAGATCCCCTGGAGAAGGAAATGGCAACCCACTCCAGTACTCTTGCCTGGAGAATCCCATGGACGGAGGATCCAGTTAGGCTACAGTCCATGGGGTCGCAAAGAGTCAGACACGACTGAGCGACTTCACTTCAACACAGTTGTTAAATGTTTACTGTAATTATTTTATATCCATGTTTTGGAATCTTGTCAAAATTAGAGCCTTCTACCATTCTCCAGGCTAAGGACAATGGCACGAAAAGAAAAATGTGATCCTGTGATCACGTTCTCCACAACGGTGCCATGTCATAGTCCTGCCAGTCTCCTGCCCTAGGTTGGATGCTTTGCTGAGCTGGTGGTGCAGGCCCCTAGACTGGCCTGACTTGGGTGGAATAGGAGCAGATGTGTGGGAGGGTTAGTCCGTAGCCAAGCCCTGTAGAGCCAGTTGGGCCACCATTTCACGTGATGCTGGAGGCAGAAGGTAGCGGATGTCACTGTGGATATTTTGTGTGTGTGTGTTCAGTTGCTAAGTCATGTCCGATTCTTTGCGACCCCAAGGGCTGCAGCACACCAGGCTCCTCTGTCCTTCACTATTTCCCGGAGTTCGCTCAAATTCATTTCCATTGAGTGAGTGATGCCATCTAACCATCTCATCCTCTGCCGCCCTCTTCTCCTTTTGCCTTCAGTCTTTCCCAACATCAGGGTCTTTTCCAATGAGTCAGCTCTTTGCATCAGGTGGCCAAAGTATTGGAGCTTCAGCATCAACATCAGTCCTTCCAAGGAATATTCAGGACTGATTTCCTTTAGGATGGATTGGTTTGATTTCCTTGCAATTCAAGCGACTCTCAAGAGTCTTCTCCAGCACCACAGTTCGAAAGCATCAATTCTTTTTTGCTTACTAGATTCCTTTTCATTAATGATCTTACTATTACTTGTCATGATTTTATTATCCATTAAGTTGATTTTCTGAGATGATTATTTTTCAAAGAGGAACATTCACTGCTCTAGTGTTTGTTTGCAGATAAAAGTACTTACTTTCATCTCCTACCTGCATTATTTAAAAGGATTGTATGCTAAGTCACTTTAGTCATGTCCGACTCTTTGCAGCTCCATGACTAGAATTCCTGTGTCCATGGTATTCTCCAGGCAAGAATACTGGAGTGGGTTGCCATTTCCTTCTCCAGGGGATATTCCCGATCCAGGGATTAAACCCCAATCTCCTGCATTGCAGGCAGAGTCTTTACCGCTTAAGCCACCAGAGGGGAGCAGGATTAGGGTTACCGTAAATCTTGTCAGTAACATTAATTGTTAACTTGAGAAGATTCTTCAAATTCTGAGCAACATGATGCAGATGTCTAAATGAGTTGATTTTATAAAGATAAACAGACAGCTTTTCCCAAAGGTCACTTAGATAGAGTATATGTTTTCATTTTTAACTTTTTTTTGTGTGTGGCTCTTTTCAGTTTATTGCATGTAGGAGTTACACTAGTGCAAGTTAAAAAGCAAACCCAAAATTATGGTTACATTATACAGGCTGTGAGGTTTTTAAACTTGTGACTAGGGACCAAAGGGAAATTCTACTCATTGCAAGGAAATCCTCACTTAAGCTTCAGTGAGCCAAAAGCACTTAAAATCTGTGAATCTTCGACTGGTCATCCTTAGGCAGTCCAGTCTCCACCAGGAACTGGCATATGTCCTTGTGCTGGTCACCCTGTAGCTGAATTCCTTCTCCATATTCTGGATGCTCAATTGCAGTACCTTTGCAGGCAAATTTCTTCTTAAACGCCTTCACTAGTTTCTTTTTATCATCATCATCTGCGATCTCTTAGACAGTAAGTAGTAAGGGTCTTCCTGCTGTTTCTCTGCTGAATTCTTATATGGATATAATTCTCAGTGCCAGCAGGAAGCAGATCATCACCCTCACTTGCATAAGCAAAGAATCTGAAGAGTGGAGATTCTGGATATGGGACATACAACATGATTCCTTTTCCTCGGTGGAAATGGCCTGCGGAAGGTGGCGGCGGGAGAAAGCGGGCAGGGGGACAGAGCCTCCATCGGGAAGTGAGGGGAGGCCTCTGAGTCCCTGGCAGCAGCTCATTGACTGGGTCATTTTTTCCTTTTTGAATTTACAGATTAAAATACAGTTGTTAATAGTATTTTCGTATACAAGTAGAATTACTGTACCTCAGCATTTAGAAACAGACTTAAAAGGCCACATTGCTATTTGGTTAGACAGAAATTTACTTTATATTCTTCACCTACAGGTTGACTATATGTTAATAATATAGCATAAACTAAAAGCCTTTTCTCCCTAATAAAACTCAAAAGTTTAGATACTGAAATACTGGCATCAAAATAAATACAATACAAAGAAGGTTGTAACCTCAGGCAAAGTAAAATTGGACATAGTTATAAATTCTGGAAATTTGCAGTTTGTTTTCTATAAGTAAGTAAAGTCACTCAGTCATAGTTCTACCCCATGGACTATGGCCCGCCATGGAGTTTCTGTCCATGGAATTTTCCAGGCAAGAGTACTGGAGTGGGTTGCCATTTCCTTCTCCACAGGATCTTCCCAACCCAGGGGTCGAACCTGGGTCTGCAGCATACAGGCAGACGCTGTACCATCTGAGCCAGTACCATTATAAAGTATTCCCTTGTGCTTTATAATTGCATGTAAGCTGAATGTACCAAAGTAACATTGAACAGAGAAGTATTCGTTCCTTCACTTGGTTCCCAAACACCTTCATACATTTAGAAAATGGGCAAGACTTGACATAGCAATATTATTGGTACAAATTGTTGGGAAACAGATTTTCACTTAGAATAAGGAAGAACTTTGTAATGATTAAATGCATTAAAAATTGAATAGACTACCTTCAGGAAAGGTATTGAGTTCCCATCACTGGAGATTTACAAGAAGAGCTAGACATACACCTGTTAGGGGTTTTGTAAATTTAGACCAGATACCTTTAGAGGTCTTGCCAACTCTGAATTTGCTGGTTGGATGATTTCTCCTATAGGGTGATATATGAAGTGATTGTTACACAAAATAGTTTAATAAACTTTCTCTCTTAGCATGTTTTTTTAAGCGAGACATACATACAGAAAAGTGAACTTATCACAAATGTACCCAACCTGATGAACTTTCATTACCTGAACCAGCCCCCTAGATCAAGAAACAACCATCTCTGCACCCCAGAAGCTCCATCTTATCCCCACTTCCAGTCGTGATCACCTGCACCCTGACAGTAATCTCACTCTTGACTTCCAGTCAACTTTAATAAATAGTGCCAAACAGATTTCCAGAATGTTTGTATTCTGGCCTAATTTTAATGAGGTCCAACCATGTCAGAAATGTTAGTTTTTCTGAAATCCCATAGATCTTAAAAAAAAAAATGTTGGTTGTAGCACTCAACAGCTATCTTATCCTATAGTTATCTTTGAACACTGACTTCCTTTTCTAGAGTATATATTCCTTGAAGAGATCACTTTATTCATCTTTATATTTCCCGAAGTATCTTACATAGAATAGACTCTAAATTTAATATTTTTATGTGAATGGATAAGTAAATAAGGAAAAATTATATGTAGTATCAATGAGAAGAATGTTTGGAAATTGCAAAAATATAAATAGCATACCAGATTAGCTACAAGGGTGCTCGTAAAATGAACAGAATTAATTTATTAATATTGGCTCATACATTTTCCTGAATTCTGTAAGGTACTCTTTCTTATAGACTAACATATGAGAAAATAGAAAGCTGAATTGCACATTTTTAGCTATAAGACTTAAGCCCCGTTGTCATCTCCAACATAGAAGCACGTGAATGTTATGTAGCATTGAACCACATCTGTTAGCTATGAATTGGAAGGTTGGCAAGAGGGTGCTGGTTAGGGAAGGCGAGAGGGAAGTCCTGCTTTGCTGGGATTGTGATGACATCGTAATTCCAGTAGGATTACAGCTTTATCCCAGATTCTTCTATGATTGGCAAGAAGTAATGGTTTCACTATATCATGGGTAAGGCCAGTAAGAACTGTTTGAGCCAGATAGAATTTTAGTGGCTTTTAAATTTATAACTATTACTGTTTAAAACAGTTCAGTGAGGATATTTGGGGTTTATGGGTGTTTCTCCTTAATGTTTTTAATCTACACTCCCAAGTTTTATTCAGTGAATACATGTTATTTTTAAAATCAGAAAGTAGTTTTTAAAATAATTTATGTTGCAGAAATCGCTACCTTGACTATCTCTTTCATTCCAGTGTTGGCCTAACTATGAAGTTATCTTTAAAAAAATAATTGAAGTTGCCACATTTTTAGATTTGCCGCGTTTTCCAGACATAACTGAAAACTGCTATCTTCATCCAAACATCTTGTGTATGAAATACTTGATGGAGGTCAATCTCCCTGGTAAGTGTGAGGTATATATGGTAAATAAGCCTTGACTTATTGAATTATTATGAAAAATGTATCGAATCTTCTCAATCAGAGACTATTAGAGTCACCTGACAGGGTCTATAATAATATGAAGCTTAATTTCAAAGTTCTTTCTTAAAATGTTTTGGACCATTTAAAATGGTTAAAAGGACACTATTCAGAAGTAATGAGCTCTATTTTGGGTGAGAGGGATAAGCTTGAGAGATAATGTTTGGTTTTTACAGTAAGTTTTTACTGAATACAAATAACACATGATTCAGTATGTATTATTAATTACTGAGGCACCTCTGCTGAAAAAGGGCAGCACTCCTTCATTTGCATGAAGCGTGATTATTAAATAAAGAATTCTAATTTTTAAAATCCCAGAAGTTAATCTGCAGTGATATTTTTATTGTTTAGTAACATATTGCTATTTCCAGTCCCTGAGACAAATGGAGATGAGTGTCTGGTAGGATGCAGAGGCAACCTCACTAGCCCTTGTTCACAATACACCAAGACACAGGTCACCCCAGCGGAATTCGCCGATGGAATCTATTCCTGAATTTCTTGCTAAACTAGAAATGTGAGAAATGCAGGGTTTCTATTCTTAACAGAAAATACAAACATGGCGTGACTATATTATTGCTTATGCAATATAAAAAAAGTGATTGAATTTATTTTTAATAGGAAAGGAAAAGACATATGAAAAAAACAATATACAAAACTGCATGTATAATATAATTTTAGCTGTAAAAATAAACATAAATTGGAGTAATATATATACACACATGTAAATATTAAGTCTTCTAAAATATTTTTTAAAGAGAAAAAAATAAGCTTTTCAAATGTATCATTTATTAAGCTAAGGAATGTATGTGTCTTGCTGTAACTTCAGAAGTCACTGGCTCTTTGATTAAGATTCCAGAATTTGGGAAGTCTGATTTCTGCACTTTGGCATGTTACATATATCAGTTTATTGTTTTGGATTTTGGTTTTTTGATTTACTTTTGGAGTGATTTTTTCAAAATATGGCCAGTTCCTGTGTTCTGTTATATACTTCAAAATCCTAAGCTCATAATGGGGAACTCTAAGATATGGAAAGAATGCAAGGAATTACCAAAATATAACTGGCTAAGGCTTTAGCCAGGGTTATGGCAGGTGTCTAGCTCACATAGTTGCTATTGGACAGAAATGATGGTGGCAGTGTTTTATGACCAGTGTGTGTAACTTAATAGTATTTCTCACCTAACTCTTCCTGAGAGTAACAAGTAGAATTAAAGCCACTATAATATACAGAGACTGCTATCATCTGATGTTTTAAAGTGCTGTTTTAGAGACCATATTAAAAAGAGCCAGGATAGAGAAATTTTACTTCCCACAGTGTTCAATAGAAATAATTTGGAATATAGATAAAAAACTATACACAAATGTTATTGACCTTATTTATAATACTGAGAAATCAGAAATAAGTATCCAACAGAAAGGTAATGTTTAAGTAAATATTTTTTATATCCAGTGGAATCGTGTGCATCTTTTAAAATCATGTTTGTGAATAGTATATAAAAGCATGGGAAATGTTTATGTCATAATAGAAAAGGAACTAGGCCAAATTATAAATTATATATAATATAATCATAGCTATATAAAATTAAAATATTCATGAAAATATTGGAAATAAATTTACCCAAATATTGAAGTGCTATTTCTAAGTTATAGTAATGCATTTTTTCTTTCTTCCCACTTTATGTATCTTATAAATGTCTTATACTGAGTTTGTATTACATAATAGTGGGAAGAAACAGTAAACAAAGTAGATCTACAAACTAAGATGTGGTGGTCCCTTCAAAATTACATTCTAAAATGTGATGTTGATTGGCCTCCTACCCATGAGATTATAAGAAGACTTCTAGAATATTGCCATTTTCAAAGCTGAAAGTTTGCACTCTACAGTTCTCTTGTGCTGTTGATGGAAAAGAAGAGATCTGTGTACTTGGCCCTTTTTCAAAGAGAGGTTTTCAGGTTCCCAGAAAGCTAAAAGTGGTTTTAAGCATGCTGGGGCAACAAATGCCCCTCCTCAGTGCCTCTGTGTATGACAGTGTCGTCCCTGGAACGGGGCAGAGAGCAGCCTCCAGCAGGCGTGTCACACACACCCTTGCTGAGTAAGCACTGCCTCTCTGGTGGCTCTGACTGAACTCCAAACACATCTCTTAGTTTTGCCCCTCATTCTGGGACCGAGGAGCCGGCCAGAGAGAATTCCTGGCAGCTTTCATAATCATGTCTGTTTAATTTGTGGGGAACCCTGTAGAGTTTCCAAAGTGCCTTCATCTGTATTACCTCATCTGTGAAGGTGGAAAGGGAGGACGGGTGGGTGTTCTCATCTCAGATGAACCGTGGGCAAGCTGAGTGACGCCTGGCTGCTGGATGGCCACGGCGTCATACGATACTCCAGGTCACATAATACTCCAGGTCAGAATCTTAGTTTTTCTCTCCTGTTCTGGCTTCCTTCCTCATAATTTCTTCCATTTGCTTTTTATTAGTGTGTACTTTTAGTATAAGAGAAGCAATTCAAGATATTAATTTTAAATAAATAGGGGAGACATTTTTCAAGAAATACCATTTTTATAGTAATAAAATTCTGTATTTAATACTATATATAGAGATGTATATATACTGTGTGTAATATAATTTGTCCTGTTACAAAAGTATTGTATACTACATTAAGAGAATAGAATCAATAGAACATAATGACTGACAGTATATAGGAAATGCAATACAACTTATTATGCTCTTGTAAATAACAGCTGTTCTACTTGAATTTAATCAAAATATAGGTACTTCAGTTAGTAAGTAAAGAAATTCGCTTAGTAATTCAGTGTTTTCAAAGTATAATTCACTTGTCCTATCTTTTTAATGTTTATCCTCACCATAATGCCTTTTAAAAATGAAGAAACTGAGGTTGAGTGGCTCTAGTCTGGAGCCACAAAGCTCATGATTAGAAGGCCTAAATATATAGGCTGTAGGTGTTCTGGCTCCAAGTCCCAAGTTACTCAGCCTTGAATAATAGATGAGTCTGTGCTGAGCGTGTAATTTCTTTGGGAAAGCAGTGCAGCAGGTGAGATGCACACTGGGCCTTCCAGTGTGCTAGCCAGGCTCCCTAGCTTCCCGAGTGAGTGCACATTTTTAGAGAAGCCCTTGGTCTTACAGGAAAGTTAGTTTCAGGTAAATGCAAATTGCCGTAGAAACACAGACAAGGAGCATGGATGAAGCAATAGAAGATGGATGTGTGCCTGTGTATTCAGTGCCAAGATGTGTCCCATAGATAGCAGGCATTTTGGGAAGTCAGAATAGGAGAAGATAGACCCTGCCAGGATTCAACCATTTGTTTTTCTATACACATTTCATTTTTTGGTTTATTTATACACAAAATGGTATGTCTCAGAGTTCTGGCATAGTATATTTTAAGATAAAGCTTATCTCATGGATATATACATTAGTATGTTCTCATTAACCAAAGAGTTTAATTTCACATTTTTCTGTTTTATTCTTCAACAGATGAAATGCATAATTTAACCTGCCTAGTGGTAAAAGCGACTGGAATAGGAGAAGTGGATTTTCTAAGATTTGATCCTATAGCTAAAAAGGCAAAAACTGTTAAATATGATGTGCAAGCTGTAGCTGTCATTGTAGTGGCATTGAAACTGCTCTTTTTATTGGATGACAATTTAGAATGGTAAGTGTATGTCAGCCTTAGGAGGAAAAAATTGTATCATTTTCCCCTAATTATTCAGAGTAAAGGACTCAATATGTTATATCTCAGTAGAAAGTAGAGACTCTCAGTTGTTATAGAACACTGACTAGTAGCAACAATTACTCCTTACCTAATGTTTTGGCTCAGATATTTGTCAGAGAGTTTGTTCTCCTTTAGTAAGTTGTTTGGATCATGTTTTCTTCCATTTTTAGGAAGCCACACATGTGTCTCCTTCTCCTGAGTTTCAAATCATCATACACAAACTCTAAACAGTCACATAGCACTTCATCTGTGTACCTTTTGATTTCTGGCACTATGTATCTTCAAAGATCATCTGGAAAGTGAAAGAATCTTAAAATGCCAACAAAGAGTGGCAATGTCTTCTTCCCTATTTCAGTATGTGCTTCTGCATTAAAAGTTGGCATCAGTTTCAAGTACTGTTCTATACTTTTCTTTCAGAAGAATTCAAAATTTAACTGTCTTCAAGTGAATGATTTCCAAATAAATTGATTTGTTTATTTGTATCTCCAGGTCTTTGTCTAATATTGCAGAGAAATATAATAAAAAGAACAAAGAAGGTACCTTTTTTTTTTTTTTAGTCAATCAAGTGATTGTAAAAGGTGAATTAGAAGAAGAAACTCTGAGAAATATATAAATTGTACCTTGTATCAGACTGTTTATATGTGTAATTATCTAATATATCTTCTATTCTCGAGGAGATAATAGTCAAATCTAAGAGAAACAGACATGTAAAAAGATGGTTTCAATCTGTGTAATCTAGAAAAATAGTAAAGATGATCTTACTTGCAAAGCAGAAATAGAAACACAGCTATAGAGAAGAAACATATGATTACCGAAGGGGAAAAGGCAGGGGGATGGGGTGAGTTGGGAGATTGGGATTGCATATCTACACGACTGTGTATGAATAGGTCACTAACGAGAACCTGCTTAGAGCTGCGGGAGCCCTGCTCAGCGCTCTGTGGGGGCTTTAACTGGAAGAAAGTCCAGAAGAGGGGGACACGCGTGCATGTGTGGCCCATCAGTGTGCTCTGCAGCAGATCTGACCCCGCAGGGTAAAGCAGCTCTATTCCAGTTCTTTTTTAAGGTAGTTTTGGTGTAATACACGGCCAGTACAGGTGAGAGCTCAGAACGGAATGGGGTGACAGCAGAGTGCTCACAAGTCACATTAGAGCTGGAGATAGTCAGTCCCTCCAAGGGCTGGCACATAAATGTTTAGTCAGGTCAGTGAATAAAGACTCAAATGAGCAACATGTGTTTGTGTTTAATAATGTGACATATTTGGTTAGTAATCATGGATTTCATTTCTTTCAGATAAACCATGGTTTGATTTCAGAAAATGGTACCAAGTTATGAAGAAAGCTATTGATGAGAAAAAACAAAAGTGGGAGGAAGCCAGGGCAAAGTATGTTACCTCTTCTAGCTTTAGATTCACCTACTTTATTTTTTAAGTCTATTGCTTTACATCTGAAAGCTCAAGTTTCATCAGTTCAGACTCACCAGCATTATGACCCTTTTTTCTAGAATTAACCCCTCTGTCTAAACTACCTTTTAAAAATATTTCTATTAACTATTAGTGAGTGAGTAAAAGTCGCTCAGTCGTGTCCGACTCTTTGCGACCCCATAAGCCATATAGTCCATGGAATTCTCTAGGCCAGAATACTGGAGTGGGTAGCCTTTCCCTTCTCCAGGGGGTCTTCCCAACCCAAGAATCAAACCGGGGTCTCCTGCCTTGCAGGCGGATTCTTTACCAACTGAGCTATCAGGGAAACCCCATAATGTCCTTTTAGGGGTGTCCCTGGTGGTCCAATGGTTAAGACTCCACACTGCCAATGCAAGGGAGGTGGGGTCCATCCCTGGTCAGGGAACTGAGATTCCACATGCCACACGGTGTGGCCAGAAGATTTATTTATTTATTTATTTATTTAATGCGTAATTCACTTTATTTATTTATTTATTTTTCCATTTATTTTTATTAGTTGGAGGCTAATTACTTTACAACATTGCAGTGGTTTTTGTCATACATTGAAATGAATTAGCCATGGATTTACATGTATTCCCCATCCCGGTCCCCCCTCCCACCTCCCTCTCCACCCGATCCCTCTGG